TCATTCACTTAGTTCTCAACTAATAAGTTTCCTCGAGATATTAATGCGTACCTTGTATTTGCCGATATTCATTTTCTTCTTCTTCCGTTAGTCTTTTTGCACCGGTTTTAGATTGAGGTGATACTTCTATGGAAACATCTAAAGTTTCAAAGAAAACATACCGATAAACATTTCGATTATTTTTTGATCAGAACTTACATCGATTTCTTGATAAATGATTTAATTTTTTTAAATTAATTTTATCTGATATTCCACCATGTAGAATAATTATTTTACATTTTCCTGCATCAACATAGGAATAAAGTGGTAACCAGCTGAATATATCTTTAAATAAATCAATTAATGGTGCTTTACGTGTCTAAATACATAATTTATTAATAGAATTTACAGTTTTAAACAAAAAAAAAATTCCTATAGACTAACTCGATATTTTTGATTGACTTCATTAAAAAAACCATATCGAACAGTAACCATAATATCTTCATGATTGCCTATTGAGAATTATTTTAAATAGAAATATAAAATATTGCAACCGGTAAACGAAATATACCTCGGTTAAGAAATACTGAGCTTGGATAAAGTATAAGTGCAACAAGAAGTAAAAGAATAACTTCAACTGAATTTCGACCACGATCAACAAAATCTCCATTAAATACATATGCATTGTCCGTTGACGGTAGTCCGTTCTATTCAAAAAAAATTATACCATTTCATTAGAAACGGATAATCATCATGAAATATTATGAATCTACCGAATTAAATATATGTAACAAATCCGCTAGTTGTCCATGTAGATCACCAACAACAAATACATGTCGTAGATATGTTAGATCAACATGATTGAAATTTGGTAAACTTTTCAGAATAGCACGTGCTTGATGAAGAATTTCACAGACGTATTTTTCATGTAAAACCTAAAGGAACAAGAAGTTGTTGATAAGGGAATGAACAATCAATATAATTGGCAGATGTTAATTTATAACCCTCATAGCCAATACACTTGATAAAGAGAAATTAATAAAGCATATAGAAAATTATTATAGATAAAATATTCAATTGATAGAAAAAAATATATTTGTATTTATTTGGCGAACATGAAAAATGCCAGAAAATGAGTGCTTTTTTGTGGCATTTCTTTTAGGTAATTATAGCGAAGCATGCGAACTAAACCACAGCATGAATGTTTACGATTATTCTAATAGTCTGAATGGTCCTTCGAAGTGACACACAATAAGCCCAATTAAAGTAACAAGTTAGCATTTTCTTTTTGATTACGAACAGTTTTGTTTACGAAGTGCTGTTTTTTCTATGAAATTCTTAGTCTAATTTCTACATACTTGTCCACGTTGAAAAGCTTCGATTAAATCAACAAATATTTTTCTTGTAATCGGCCCTTCTATGCCTGAAACAAAGTAATTTATTTGGTTCATCGATGATACCTTGAAAAGATAATTACGTGGTCCCTGATAAGTAGCATCAACTTGAATATTATCCGGATTTGTTAGCTTTAAAAGTTCTTTTTCTTCTAAGGAAAAAAATAAAATTCAATTTATATAAAATTCTTATCGTACGAAAATTTATTAGGATACTTTACCAACAGGTAGTCCGGCTTTGTGCAGCAATTTAGTAACAGACGGTGAAAGAATATCAGATGATTTAAGTAACTTTTCAAACATATCTTTGAGCTAATTAAAAAGATAACATTACATTCAGTCAAATAAAATATTGAATCTATTACCTTGGATTCAGTTTGTTCACTAGAATATTCAAGTTTTTCATGTATTTGCCATGCAGCTTGTTTTTTTAGTTTAAGTCGAGCTTGATGTTTACGAAAGGCTGCTTGAATTTTTGATGCTGATTTCTCCACTAAAATAATCAAAAAAGAAAACAAAAGAATTCTTATAAATATATATATATATTTTTTTTTTAATTTCGAAAGCCAACTAACCTGGTGATACTGCTAATTTAGAGACCATTTTCATTTTATCTGCTTTTTCTGACAAGGCTGCAACTTGAGGTACAATCTAAATAGATGGAAAAATTTTTTTTGTAATATCCGAAAATTTTTATGAACGAAAAAAACCTCATTTTTGCTATTAACACAATTATTATCATCTTGATAAACGCTGCGAAAAAATCGACCCGTAGCTTTGTGCCACATGTGTTACTTTGCCGACTTCTGTGTTCTTTTTATTATTTAAAATAGTAAGAAATATATATAGAGAGATATATATAGATATATATATATATATATACATGCATCGATTATCATATTCTTTTACTATTCTTTTTTCCTCATACGTGTTTGATATATCTCTCGTAAAAAAGAAAGATTCATTCATTCGAATATGGTGCCTGGCGGCTTTCATCAATTTTCATTCATAGTGAACACGTATCGTAACACATGAATTATTCAAAGTTGATTTATTTTGTCGTACTTTTCTATAATTGAATGTTATTATTCGGTTACAAATTCTGAGCAACCTAAGCATAATAAATCATCCTAAATAGGACAATAACAAAAAAGCCTCGGTAATAAATCGATTTTGTACAAGATCTTTTTGTTTTGCATAAAAATCTAAGACGACGAAGAAGAAGAATCAGAGCAGTAACTCTCAAATGATAGCTATAATGGAAGGTCACTACAGAACAAACATTATCGTCAGAGTAACGCACGATACATAGATTTGATGAAATGCCAATTCGATATAGACAGATTTACTCAATAATGTATAAGACACATAAGAATATTATACATAACTCAGTAGTAATAACGCTGTAAAAATTCAATAAGATAAAAATTCTTACCTGTGCTAGTAGCGGATGATTCATTTTTTGTGTTGTACTTTTACACGTGTATGTTGGCGATGATAGAATAAAAATGAAATTTTACAAGCTGTGTTTTTTCTCGCTCTAACGCATTTATCATGTCTTCCGTTCAAGGTTAACTTTTGCCAAATATGTATCTAACGGACCATTCGATAATAAATAAAGAAGAATATATATATGATATATCAAAAAAGAACCTAGACCAAGATCTACGAAATCTTTTTGTTGTTGTTTGTTGTATATATGCAATACAACCACGCGACGACCATACGAGAGAATTAATAAATGAGACAGAATTTGAGGCACACATAACAGAGAGAGAGAGAGAGAAAGAGAAAGAGAGAAGAAGAACTGCCAGTTTTTGCAACTCTTTCTCCTCCCTTTTCTTCTTCTTCAAGTGACGCGAAAAGAACAGAAGCAGAGCATGGTGCTTGCATTGCGCGAAAGCATCAAGACGACTTTTATCGGAGCTACAAAGTATTGCATATACATAACGAAGCAAAGTCGTAATGTTGTATGAAAAAATCAATGTCAGTCATAAAGAAAAATCTTACGACGCAGTGCAAATAGCATAGCCCGAAATAATTCCGCTTTTCTTTCTTGCATGATAGCTCATTTGAAGGATGTCTAAACGGATGTGAATCGCCCCCAAGTTGCACATATATAAAAGAGAAAAGAAATAGCGTTCCTTTTTGTTTCTTGTATTTTAGTTATGATCCATTATTCAATTTTTTTGTATGCCACCCATAGAATGCGCAAGGAAAATCTATATATTATATAAGCATGCGAATGATATTGAATTCAAAAAAGAAATGAACTTCTTTTTGCCTGCTGCTGTTGTTGATATTTTCTTTATCAATGAGGCTTTTGCTTGTTTATATAAAATGATGACATTTTGTCATGATCAATTTCAATTTAACTATGATCTCCAGACGAAAAAGAAAGAATTCTTTGATGATGGAACTAGTTTAAAACGAATGAGCCTTTTTTCATCGCTGCTGACTTTCTTCAAATTGAATTTTTTGTAGTTACCCCATGCCTCATCTTAGAAAAGAGGAAAAGAAAGGAAATTTCTCGATTAGAAAAAATAATTATAACAGGTAGTGCTGCTTTTTTTTCTTTATTTAAACCATTTTCCTATTCGTCATGAACAGAGTAACAATTTAATAGAAATCCTGCTATGTATATATATTCAATAAATTAATAATGTATCAAAATAATTTTATCATAATCCATTCTATCTACTTTCCTGTTCAGCCGTAAATCAATATCGAAAATCTTATTTATTTTTGAATAAAAGGTTGTTATAAATTGTAGTATGTCTCTTTTTCTTTTGGAAGCCATTTACATTATTTATTAATCTGATGCACTTAATAATCAAATAGTCTTTTCTGTTTCTGCGATGCAACCAGCTTTAGTAATTCAAACCGTCGTAGCAAGGACGAATCTTATATTCTAAAAATTAATCTACCGAGATTCCAATCTTATAAATGCATACGTATGTAATTTGAATAGACAGATTTTCTCATGTGAATGCATTATTAAGAAAAGAAATTATTTTTCTGAATCGGCAATCCATGAGCGCGTCACACAATGGTGAAATTTTTTTAGCATAAAAAAGAAAGATCTTCCTAGTTTTCGATTTAAAATTATGGAAATTATTATATCAATTCAATTTTAGGTTAATTTGTTTTCTTGAACCTACTACTTTTCATCATTAATTAAGCTTGATTGTGTCTCTTTTATTTTAATAAATTGGATCCTGTACGTCCTTCCTCCTGACATTCACGAGAGAAAAGATTTTCATTAAAGTGTAATTAAAATGATCTAATGCTCGATGAGTTCATTTGAACGGAAAGAGCTTCTGTCGACTGCTCGATAATAAATGTCACATTAATTTAATCCATTTTTTAATGAAAATCTTGATTGCTTACTTTGAATGGAACTGTAAGAGTAGTAATTGAATATATTTATAGAAAAAGCTTTTATTTCAATTGAGAACTTTTACATATAATCCATGTAACATGCGCTATTTCATGTCTTTAATGAGAAACATCAATTTCATGGTTAAAAAAGATTAATAAAACGAAACAGAACAAGAAATGAAAATCTATTGAAATTAGGTTTTTCAACCAGGTTGACAATAAAAAAGAAAACAAATAACATTAAAACTATTTTTTTACATCTTTATAAGCAACAACAAACATTTGTGGCACATCGAATTCTGGTGAATAACCACTATTATAAGATGAATCTTCAAATATGATGCTATAGGAATCTTTTCCTATTTTCGGTATAGTCTCAACAATACCTTTATAGAAACATGACGTTTGAGGATACAGCGCAAGAACAATCGTACGCCGTGAAAACAATGCTTGAGGACATGTCAATGGACAAGCACGCCATTGTGGCAGCGGTATAACATGTCGTTTATGTATATTATAATACCGTCCTTTGCCTGGTTCAGCATCAATATCAACAAAATCATATTTTATTTTATTTGGATGAACATAGGCAACTTCAGCTAAAATCCAATTGTCATCGCCATCATCACCTTCAACATAGCCAGCTATAAGGTCACCGATATTACATACATGGTTTGATGCAGATGGTATAGCACCGCATAGTGGCGGTGGGCTATTACCCTTTAAAAACAAAGAAGAGTTCATAATATCAAATACTAACAGGTGATGAATGTTTTAAATAAAACTTACTTTATTTGAACCGTTTCCCACGTGCTCATTCCCATACCAAACTTTTAAAACATAAGCCATATGTGAAAGAAGATCAGCTAGACCTCGTCGTGTCATATGAGTACGATTGATGTCGATATGATTTTTAGTAACATTGAATATATCAATTTGTAATTGACGAATTTGATTTATCTTCGATAAAGCTTTTTTGTACGTATCAATTTCATTTTCCACGTTAGTCAATGTTTGCGTTATAGTAGTTTTTAATAATTGTGATTTTGTATTCTCATCAGATTTTTGTTGCCCTTCAATGGAAATCCATGCATCACGACTGACATTATAGCATTCTTTTGTTTCTTTAAGATTATCTTGTAGTTCAAGTAAAAGATTTTGAATTGTTAATTCATTTTGATTTATGATATCTTTAGGCTCAGTGGATGATGACTGTGCGATTGCCGATGATGATGATGACGATGTACGTGATGGAGAATGTTCAATATTAGGATTAGTACGTGTCATGAGAACAATCTTCTTTTTTTTTTTTGTACAAAAATTTAATTATTAAAAACTTTCTTTTGGTAGAAGAGAAATGTTCAAATCGAATCTATGTACGAGTTCGTCCATTGCACTCTTTGTCTGGTCTATTTGACAGAAGGTACAAAATGGATAGCCAATCAGAATTAGGTCACCTTGAAAGAAGATCATGATTTATCACGCATGCCACTTATTCAATGAAAAATTATGAATCGATTTTGTTGTTGAAGAAAATATTTAAATGAATAATCGTGTTCACTTGGACGGGGTGCGACGGCACAACCGTTACTGATGTTATCTTGGTGCTTGCTTGTTTCTTTTTTTCCTGCTTGTTTTTGCGTCTAATATTGTTGACTCAATATATATATTTTTATTCTTCAAGCTTCTTCATATATCTCTCTTCACTGAGATATACCTATACTCATTCTTTCAATACATTTCGCTCATCATTCGAGCGTCTCTTCTCTGGCTACTATTTTTCTTCTCTAAAAAAAAAGAATCATGATTACTTACATGTTATCTTTCTTTCAACTCGATTGTCCCTTACAATCGTTCCAACTCGTGTCAGTTACTTGCTTGTGGAATTCTTCTTGTTCTCAACTATTTTTGTTCATTGAATAAACTATTGGGTCTTCATTCAATATTCAATACTATTTTATTTCCATTGCTGCCATTCTGCCATAGCCAATACTGTGGCACCTGGCATTTTTTATTAGTTGCGCCTCTGATCCTTATCAAGACATTACAAGTGGTAAAAAGTAAATAGAGTCTTTGCTCAAGAGTTTCTCTACCAAAGTTTTCTAAAAAAAAAGGCAGACTAAATCAGTTCATATTTCTAATTTTACTTGATTGAATTATGCAAGCACGAAAGCTATTGCGATGCTTTTAGAAATAAAGTCTTACGCAGAAGAGTTTCGTATTTGTATTCTAGGTAATTGTGTTCCGCTAAAAATTTCCGGTCTTCCTCACTAGGCATGCGACAGTGACTCCAGTAAATCTATGAAAAATCTATCACTATTATTATTTTTCAATAGGAGTAACTTCTATATTTAGTCGTTGCGATAAGATAAGCATTCCAACTCAATTGAAACGAATATCTTAGACAAAGGTGGTTGAATTTTAACAGTTGTTCACAAGCCACATTTATTCAAGCTCGGTTTACTTTCATAAAGCGAAGTCTTTCGTTTTATTTATGTTTACAAAATTTGACTTTAAAAAAAAAGAAATGAAAACCTCTTAGTTTTGTGTCGGGCTTACTAATATCTACCTAATTATTCCTCGTGATAGGAATAGAGATCATATCACAGTTATACATATATTTATAAAAGTAATACAGAAATTGCTACTATTATGCATAACTAGTTGAACTAACGAAATGATACTTAATCATACTCGTATGTTCAAATTCCATGATTAAATCACAATTATCATCAGTCCTTAACTAGCCTCACCAACAACGTAAATCAAGATATTTAAAAAAAGTGGCGATCCTAATGCATTCTCCCCCGACGACTCTCGCAAAATAACGAAATCCCCAGGAACTCCCTGTCGGGAATCCACGGGATTTACCAAGGGGCTCCCTGGGATTCTTCTAGAGAGAGTCGACTAGCGGAAGTATAGTACTTCAAAAACTCAATGGCGACATTTATATCAATGATGATGGATTATAATAGGAATAAAGCACTTTTTTTTACAATCATGCTTTTAAAAATAGCAGCATATAACGAATATTTTTTTCACTTAGTTTCATTCACATGATAAGCATCTTGATAGTATAGATAATACAAATTATAAAATAATTTACCGTACATAGGCCATGTAACTATTTTTCAGATTAGACACAAAACAACTTTGCGAAGAATAATAATAAAATAAATAAAGCTACTGAATTATTTTCTCATTCGCTTGCCGGTTTCTCATAGAAATATTTACAATTTAAACTAGGCAGAACTTGTCACTGATTCTCCAGCAGAAGTCATACATATATATCGTATTATGGGAAATTTTAGAACAGAAAGAATATCAAGAACTAGCTGTATCAATATAATTTAGTATTCGATATGAGTGGTCTAAAATCGCGCTAACATGCACCTCGTTGACAGTGGGTACTACTTCAAATAATACACTATCATTGTAAACAAGTTTGCCAAAGATCACAAGATATGTAATCGGATGGTTCAATACCAAAACTAATCAATCTAACAAAGCTAATCAAAGGACACTCGTGCAATTGCGTGGTATCGTTAATGACATTGGCATTTTCATCGAATCGAATGAATATGCTGATTTTCTTTTAGAGTTCAATGTTATTACGACTTTTCTAATTGTAGCTGATAGTCTAAGTCGACAAGAAAAAGATAATGTCTTTCATTTACAATGATCCTAAACTTGAATAACAAAGGGATTTTTCGATAAGAAAATGAAATCCGTCTAGTAATATAAAGCACTACAATCAGACTTCTATCTTCATCAGCGTAAAAGCAAATGCTATTAGCGACAATCAGAATTAATTAGATTGCTCATACTTTTTTATATTCAACTATTCAAGAAAATTCTGCTAGAAATCGATAATAATGAGCAAGTTGTACATGATTTTGTTCGATTTTCACAGGACGAATATCTTGAAAACACCGTCGAAATCAAGAGAAATTGCCACTAATCGGTTAATCAGAACTCTAATTCATGAATGGTATTTTTGTAAACACTGGTCTTGTATACCACAGTTATTTGGTGCAAATTCAGATTCATAAGTCCTCTAAAATCCTGAACGTCGACTATATTAAAGTGGTTAGTTCTCATTAATGCCTACAACTGGTAAATGAAGAGACATAGGAGCAATTTTGTTCAGATACTATCAACTCTACTAATCAACGAGATACAATCAGCAAATACGGAATTAATTCGTAAAAAAAGCACTTATTTCACTCTGTCAAAACAACTTTGTGAGCATTTCAGAAAATTGTGTGAGAATTAAAGTTTTACACGCATTCTTATTAAGGGGCCCCCCTCCTTAAAAAAGTCGATTTTTCCAAAAAGATTTAAGTTTGAGTTTTTATCATGGGTAGATGCCTCAAAGTCTCCTCTTTCAGAACATATATAGGTTTTTTAAAAAAGGTTCGATTTTAAGGGACTTATCGAAAAAATACTAAAACGTACTGCATTGTTTTTCGAGAAAAGACGAGTCATTTTTTAATCGAACTATTTTCTGAAAAAATAGTTACATGGTTGGAATCAGTATAAAATTCTGAACAAAATACTGTACTTTGTTTGGGAAAAAAATTATTTTTTTTTTTTGTAAAATCATTGTGCCTTGGTCATCCGCCCGAAAACGAAATTTTTTTTTTCTTTTGTTTTCCCGGACTTTGATCTGGACATAGCTTATTTAGTACGCTGATCACGAATATGAGGTTTTTTTCCCATCAAAATGTTCTCTGAATAAAAAAAGTAGAAGTTCTCGACCAGACGACGATTTGTTTTTACCTTGCTTTACAGATCGCTGTCATGTAATTAAAGAAATCAGTTTAGGAAAGAATAAATACA